ATTCATATTTGACTCATCATTACTTTCGACACTAAACCCATGTAATTTTCTTTACTTAAAAAGTAATATTTTGTCATGCTCCATGCAATTTGAAGATTGTCACTAAAATTTAGTTTCAAGTTAGGTAAGCAAATACGTGGTAGTAGGAATCTTAAAAGCGTCGTTTGCGGTTCGACTTATTGTATTATTTGTCATCTAATAATTGTAATCTTATACTTTTCTAAATGGTAGTCCAAATAATCAAATCAATGAAGATAGAAATTTCAATTTCTAAAGGTTGAATTTAATTTTTCTAAGCGACTTTCGCGTAATTCTAATATTAATCATGAACGAACGTTGAATTTGATTTATACGATTCATCCGTTGGACTTATTTTTCATGCGTTCAAATTATTACCGTCAAATTTCTCTCAGAAATCTTGTTTGACGTCAAAGAAGAACGATAAATCTTAAATATCAGATAAATTAATATTAAACGCAGGCATGCTGATTAATAATTTTGATATTGCGAATAAATTATTTTAGCTCGTTCTATGTTTTTAACTAGAATAGATTACGCGGAGAGAAAAGAGAGGTAGAATCGATCCTGTAATTAGTTAAGGAAGAGAATCGCGTAAGCTTCTCTCCTGTGATCGTTGAAGCGAAATTATGTTTAGTACAATATAACTCCATATATCGCATACAGGTGTATGTATACGAAAAGCTAATAATATAGAAAAGCTAAATAATAAGGTGTAATATTTGAGAGTTCTCGGTAAAATCTCTTGTTGAATAACGGGAAACATGGATGTTCATTTTGTACCAATTGGTATATTGAAAAGAATCTTTCTTTTTGTAGTTTTTTTCTTCAGTCTTATCAGATTAAATCATAGAGAGTTACCATATTTTAACGTTCGAAGCTTCTACGTATATGGTAAATATAAGGAAAAAAAAAGAAAACTTTATGTAAATTATAGAATCATAAGATACGTTTTAATGTATGCATTTTATCATTCGAACGTACTTTCTATATATATATGTATACAGGGTGTCCCGTAACTGATGGTACAAGCGGACAGTGGCTGATTCTGCATGAAATAATGATAATTATTGCAAGCATATAAATATAGTTTTTTAGGCTGAAAACTTTTCAACCCACCCTCGTATCATCAATCTTGTAATTGTTACGAATAATTTGTTGACAAATTTTACATTCATAATTGCATAGTCTTCATTTTGCGTTTCTTTTTTCGTTTTTTACTACAATAACACGCATCGTTAATTTGCGAGGAAGTAGAAAGGTAACGATGTACGATATTACGACGCGTAATAAATCATATCTTTTTTGCGTCACATATACCTATAATTTGATTGTATTAATGATTTAGTTTCGTGTTAAGTAATCACAGTCATTGTTAATTATAAGTAGTCGTCGGGGATGAGCGAACTTGATATCAACGTATCGTATACTGGTTATGAATTATTTATACGAACGGCAAGAATTCAAAGAAAGTTCCATATTCTCGAAACTTTCACCCTCGTAAAACGTTCCTAGCAATATTGTCGCTAACATTTCATTTAATTTCATTGCTTTTTTATTTTTTATCTCTCTAATTTTGATAAATGATATATTGTTTGAATCAAAATGTCGTTGACATTAATAGAGAAAAATTGAAGTAAATCGGGAAAAATGTGTTAAATAGGTCAGGAGGTTGTGACCGTCAAATGATCGTACAAAAATATAAGTAAGTAAGGAGCGAAGGTAACAGTAAAGGAGGATAACGACGCAACGCGACGTGCCGTGGATGATCAAGTCAAGGAGAGCAAGTTTTCGCGATGCTCTTCGATCGTCCTACCCATCCTAACAACGAACAAATCGAATTAAACTTTTATCCCAAGAAATTCATCATTTCTTTCTGTCTTATCTTTCATTGAATCCTCTTTATGACGTAACCCAACGATCATTCTATTTAATGTCATCCGCACGTAGATCGAAAAAAAGAAAAGAATTCGAAAGAAAAGATTCAGACAAACAAACGCCACGGTTCATTTTTTCTCTCTTATTATTTTTCCCCTTTGAAAACTAATCATTTTCTATATATTTTTGCAAAGAAATTTCTTTACGACTATTGTTATATAATTGAATAATAATTAGATATAACAATTTAATTGTAAAAAAGAATTGACATGGTAGAACTCTCATGTAATTCAACGAACAAGTTGCCCAATTCTTTTTTCAACGATCTTTTATAAGGTGAACACACGAGTCGAATCAAGATCCCACTGAATGGAATTTCTTGGGCAACCTGCGTTGTTGCTTCTTGGATTATCGTTTGGATTAATCAGAGATTTGAAAAGTTTCATGCGATTAAATACTAACCTTAAGTTTCGCGTAAATCGTTACAAACGATCGTCCAAATATTTCGGCTAAATCAGTGATTAGCGTAATTCTTCAATGACCTTCGTAGAGAAGTGATTCTCCTTAAAAGAAAAAAGAAAAAAGAAAATAAGACAAAAAGATTTCGTCCGAGGTCCCATCTTTTTTCTCCCTCTCTCTTTTTTTTCCGTTCTCCAGCAAAACGCGTTCGACCACTCTCGACGATCGAATCGAGAAATACTTTCACCCGATCTCGAACACTTCCTCGAGAAGGCATCGCCTTCCTTTTCCTTCCCATTTCTATCATTTCATCGTTTAATCATTTCTTAAGAAATAATGTTCTATCACACATTTAATCGTTTAACCATCATTTCTTAAGAATAATGAAACTTGAAATAATGTTTATAAATTGAAATGCGTCCTTGAAAGGTTTCTCTGGTATTTTGTGGCTCCTAAGATAGAGTTCGTTTTATATATGATGTGTTTGTTTGTGTAGCCTACGAAGGCAAAGAAGAAGAAGACGACGACGCAACGCACGTGTGTGTCTCGCTCTCGAAGAAAGATTTCTCCGGTTTCCGCTGACCCACTGACACTGAATTATGCTCGACGGTCGGCTGGCGTGTGCCTTGGCTTCGTGACTACTCGTTCTGACTACTCGTTCTGACTACTCGTTCTGACTACGCGTCCTGACTACGCGTCCTGACTACGTACGCGTTTCCATTAACTAGGCACCACTCGAAATCTCCTTAAAAGCGTTACCTTTACTCGGATTCCATTATTAATTCGACATATCTAATACATAACTAATACTTCTTCTTTATGTTCTGTCAGTGTTTTATTTAATCGTTATTACTATAATATTTAGGGTAATGGTGAATGTTTGGTTAGAACTGGTTTGTCGAAGAGATATGCAGTTTTCTACTGGGAACAATGTCAGGGACGAAAGTAGGAAGAAATCCATCTTGGTTGACAGGAAACGCGAGAAAATTATTTTTTCAATGCAACAAACTTGTTCACCTTCAAAATATGTTTGATTAATCATTTAATTATTCAATAATAACTAATAAATGAATATATATATATATATATATTAATATTGTGATTTCTTTTGAAAATTAGAAGTATGTAATAATATCTTATTATCTTTGGAATCGTTCAATCACTTACCTAACCGAGCTAAATGTACTTACTAATATTAACTTTTGTATTTTTATATTGCATTAGAATTTTTCTATACTCACAATTTTTAAATAGACAAGATTAAAGGGATAAATAGATTTTGAGGATAGAAAATGGAAAATAGTCGGTAGAACGTCGATTAGTTGTACTCGTTGCACTTGGAGAACTGCACCTCGCATAGTCTTGCAAGCAAGTCTTGCAAGCAAGTCTTGTTTCTTATTGCTACAGTCAATTTAGTTTATAAATGCTGTTCGTACTACTTTCTATCTCATTGTCAGATATGCTTGTGATACAGGTATATCAAATTCTCCTATGAAATGTATTATTTTTCATTAGAATGTAATATTTGAACTAAATTCACATATACATATTCTAAAACTTTCTTTCGTATCTTCGATCGAACTTTACGGAATTTAAATATGGCGATTGAGAAATTTGCCGAGAAAATAAATGAAATCGATCGCATCGAATCTTCGTATAAGTTTGCTTCCCTCTCCCTTTTGCCTCTTCCTCCTCACTCATGTATTTTCTCTTTTTCTTTCTTTCTTTCTCGTTGTAAAACGTTGTGCCTTTTGAACGTTCTCTTCCTCTACAGCTTTTGATCCTCTTTCTCTAACCTTCTCTTTTTCCGTCTTTCTCTCTTTCTCTTGCACAGAGAAAGTATACACAGACAGATATACGTGAATGCCTTTGCAAGATAGCCGCATGCCAACGATTACGATGCTCAAGTTGATGGAAATCAACCAGAATCGTGAAATGCATTCTTCTTTCCCTTTTATTTGTTATTTTTGTCAAAAGTCATTTCTGAAATGTCATTTCTAAAATGTCATTTCTAAAATATCATACTTTGAAAATATTCATTGATCTCGTATTGTCAAACTTTGCGAGATTCTAAGGGTGGGAGAATCTACGAGGGTAGAAAAAACATCAAACACAAAACTCGTCGACTTTTTGTCTTATATTCGATTATGTAAAAAGATCATTCAGAAGATTAGTAAGTTCGGTGGCGTTAAATGAAATGATCGTTTCAGGAGTAGCGTGGGCTTGCTCGCAACTATGGTCGCCGTAGGATTGGCACTTTCACCTGGGGTCCATCGGTATGATATTTCGGGTAAGTGCGATTACGCGTCGATAAGTAATTACAATATATACATATAATATTCTTTCTTTTAATTCATATCTAATTTGAAATTCGATTGTTACCTCTTCAAGAAGAAGACATAACATACGTTTTATATACATTTTATACATTTTTATGTGGCTTACTCTTCTATACAGAATTCCGTTTGATTTTTGTCGAAAAATCAATGTACAATTTAATTTGTAATGTTTCAAATTGTCCCGTCTCGTTCAGTTCATAGAGTACCCAATAGATATAATTTTTTGAAAGTATATATAATTAGTATATGCAGAAAAAAGATTGATCCAAAATTTGATGTGTCTTTGTTTGCATTACAGAATACGTTTACGGCGTTGATAGCGATTTACAAGCGAGAGTACGTGCAGCAATCGAATCAGAGAGACATGCTTATCAATCAAAATCATGGTATATTGCTATTTTTATATCCTAATTATTCCGAGTTAATTTGACAGTCATTCTGCAATAGTAAAGAAAACAAATGTACATTGTTCCTAAAGTGTTTAAGTATACGATTTCATCAAAGATATTATAAAGACAGACCTTTTGTATTATCGATTCAGTGATCTTTGCAAAATAGAAATTTCAAAAAGCTCGAAGGTCGCGTTTCACGTCAGAGAATACGCAACCTAATTAGTTAAATTACGCAAAACACGATGGATAACATTAAAAAAAGAAAGAGAGAGAAGTTTTCGCAAGGGTTCATTAGCTATCGAAATGAAATAGAAATGATTCATGGTTAAATCATAGTATATAAACATATTTTCATTGAAACAGAAATAAGAATAAGAAGAAATTGCAATCGGGATATTCGCTATGTATTCCTTTTGGAATGATATATCCTTGTTGACAGTATACTAGGAATTAATACGATAATGTTGGGTGGTGGTGGTGGTGGTGGGGGCGGANGTCCGGTAGCCTTCTCGAGGTCGAGGAAAGGGGATATTGCCGGCAATGGCCGGACTAGAAACCTTCCTCGTGACTGAAATACCGGTGCAGCCAACAACGGACGCGACCGCGAAAGTAAAAGTCGCGACGACCGTTCGAACAAAAAATCCGAGAAAAAAGCTTAAGGAAATGAAAGAAGAATAAGAAAAATTCAACAGGAAGAGAGTGCAATCGTGAAGGAAAAGAAGATTGCATCGATTTTCACTAATTGAATACTCTACTACAGATTTGAATCGGTAACTTTGAATCGGTGTAGATCGATCGATTGTATTATTTTTCACTTTCTATGTATTTGTATAGTTAGTAGCAAGTACATAGTACATTTATTTAAAATATATTTCATTTTCATCAAATTTCTTTCCTAATGCAAAAGAAGAGGAATAACTTTTTCTAAAGAGTTTAGCGGTTTCTTGAATCATTCTTTGCTTTTAGGTTGCAGAACAGGATGGAATCGAACGGTACTCCTTGCGCAGCAAGATCGGCCCGACCTTGCCCACCGAGCAAGTATAGAACTCCTTCCGGAACATGCAATAATGTCAGGCATCATGATTGGGGTGCCAGGGGTTCTCCGTTTTTAAAATTATTACCTCCTGCGTATTCCGATGGTAGGTTATTATTTCTTATTTCCTTCAAATGTTCGTAAGTTTCGTCAGTAAAGTCAATCAAGATAAAACCACATAGAGAATTCAAAGTGAAAATTTAAAGGAGAAAGTCAATTATCGAGAAAAGTACAAAGAATAACGAAGAAGCTTCCATTTTATTTTAGGACGGCCAGTTTGATCACTTTAATCGTAGATCGTTAAATCATTTTCTAATAATATCAGTGTTTGTTCCCTAACTGTACTTTCCCGCTTCGATATTAATTGTGAGAAAGAAAACGGAAAGAAGTGTTCTTCTGTCAAAATATCGAATAATAAAATTGCTTAACTGAAAAAAATTCTAAAATGGACAAATAAAATCATTGGAATGGCCATCATTTTGTTCGAAAAAAAATAGAACAAATATTAGACGCTTATTATTTATAAAATAGTCTATATGACTAGTAGTGTATGAATGATGGCGTAACGGGCTTGCACGAAGGCAGGCACTCTCTATTTCAAAGATTCACGCGCGTCTTTCGGCATGCTAATCTATCATTTCTAATTCGATATCGGGGGCTGGGCTCAAGGCTCGGCCGTGTTCAAGCGAATTACGAAGCTTACTCTTTCTGACTGTACTCTTGGGATTTTATAACTGGCTTCTCTAGATACACACACGCGCGCATACGCGCACATTCCAATTTTCACTTTCCTTTTCCGATGCGTTACACCTATGCGGAATCTTAGCACGACGGCACAACGACGACCTTTTTTTTTTTCTACCCTACATTATTTTCATTCTATTTATAATGTTGTTTTTATTTTCAATACAATTGTGCAACTTTTACATTAGATTTTTCTTCTTCATTTTATTTATGCATAAAGAACAATAAAGATAATCTATGAAGAAAATATTTCATTTTGATTACAAGTATATTTCGTTGACATAATACGATCTCGATAAAATGATAGCAAGTATATACTCGGAAAGTAGATAAAAAGAAAAAAAAGTTAGTCCAGAGTTTAGCAATGACAAAGGAATTCACTTGGACAATGATAATAAAAAGCAAATATAAAACATAAGGGGGCAGGTTGTACGTGTTCTTGAATCGTTTCTCATTTTTCAGCGTATAAAAGTGAAAGCGTCACGACTTGTCGATGTTCTTTTAAAGGTATTGGAAGTCCACGGCAATCTTTGAGCAGTCATAGTATTCCATCAGCAACGGAAGCAATCGAGAGGATACGAAGTTCGTTGAAATTTAACGAATCTCACGAAGCATTAACCAGTTTGGCCGGTGTATGGTCCGAATTAGTACTCGAGGATATAGCATCTACGGTCCATGTCGATCCTGATAGCAGATATCGGTGTTGTTCGACTACCGATCGACACTCGGAATGTTACGAGATCAACGATCGAGAAAGATGCACCGGTTACATGAGATCCGTTCCAACATTGTCGATCGATGAATGTGGATTCGAATATAGGAAACAAATGAACAGCGAATCAAGTTATTTGGACGGTTCGAATCTTTATGGAAGCAATGACGATAAATTACATAAAATTAGAAGTTACGTTCGTGGGAAGGTAGAACCATCAGCCTGTCAGATTTGCAACGATTCAAATCCTACTCCATTAGGTCGTCTTTACGTAGTACTCTTAAACGAACATAATCGAATAGCTGAAAGATTATGGGAACTTAATGAACATTGGGACGACACGAAATTATTTCTCGAAGCAAGACGAGCATTAATAGCCGAAATTCAGCATATAACATTAAACGAATATGTACCAAGTATCCTAGGCGAGTTAGCTTTGATCGATCCTGAGTTAAGACCTGCTACCAATGGATTCTTTAATGGTTACTCGTCAACGAACAAAGCAGGAACTTATGACGCTGTTGCTTTGGCCGCGTTGCGTATTTTGACCTCCTTACGCAAACAGAATACGTGTTACTCAGGCATGTGTCTCGAAGATCACGTCACTACGTTAGCTAATCGTGTTAGTTTTAATCTTGGCATTTCCATGATTAATTCGAACTTTGTTGCTGCCGCTGCTAGATCTGTTCATATTGCACGTGATCATGGCGTACCTGGATATATTAAATTTATACAATTTTGTTCGGGTAATCTCAGTCAGGTATAATTTTCTTCTTTTTATATATTATTCAATGAATATGTTATATCGACTTGATAATCCTTTCAAATAATTTCATCCTTACAGCCGAAAAACTTCAATGACCTCGAACGAGTTATGCAACAGAAGAATGTTAAATTACTGGAATCTATTTATACCAGAATAGAAGACGTGGACCTTTTGGTAGGAGGAATCCTGGAAATACCATCGAAAGGCATGGCAGTAGGCCCAACGTTTTCTTGTCTTCTAAAGAAACAATTTGTTAACATGAGATATTCGGATAGATTCTGGTATGAAAACGATATTCCGCCATCGGGTTTAACGTCGGAACAATTAACAGAGATACGTAAGGTTTCACTCGCGGGACTTATCTGTGCCAATAGTGAAATTCGTAAAATTCAGCCTAATGCATTTATCCAACAAGATTCTTATCTTAATGCTAAAATTAAATGTAACCAGTACGAAGTATTGGATTTGTCAGCTTGGAGGGACGAACCTGTCCCCGTACCTGTCCTAGATAATTACATGACAACTACTCAATCAATTCCTGATTTATCATTTGAAATAAGTCCAGATTTAATAGCAATGGCAGTGAAAAAGGCTGAACAAGATCTGATCGAAAGGAAACAATTGGAATATAATGCTTGGTTGGAACAAAGAATAGCTGATCCGAAATCACCAGCTGGTACAGCTGCGAGCTTTTCGAAAGCAAACAAAGATGCTTTGTTATTGGCCAATTCGTCGATAATGTACGAGCTAGCAACGAACGAGATCTTAAACGGCGTTCATGGACTTCGACGTAGAAAGCGACAGATATTTGATAGCACGGATAACGTTCTTGGCTTTCCAAATAATGATTTCTCCGATATCCTTCAAAACGTTGATATTTCTGGATTTTTACCTCACAACAAGGCTACCAATCATGATGAAATAGAATGTCCAGTTGATAACAGTCCTTGCGATCCCACAACACCATACAGAACATTGTCAGGACATTGTAACAATCTTCGCAATCCAAATCTAGGTCAATCCTTGACCACATTCGCTAGATTGTTACCACCGGTGTACGAAGACGGCGTGTCCAAGCCAAGAACTAGATCTGTAACAGGTGTTCCCTTACCTAATCCAAGAGTAGTATCGACAGTGATTCATCCAGATATTTCGAACCTTCACAATAGATACACGTTAATGGTTATGCAGTTTGCTCAGTTCCTTGATCACGACTTAACTATGACACCGATTCACAAGGGTTTCGCAGAGTCTATACCAAGTTGTAGATCGTGTGATTCTCCGCAAACGGTTCACGCCGAATGCAATCCGTTCCCTGTACCGCCAGGTGATCATTTTTATCCGACGGTAAATGTCACGTCTGGCGCACGAATGTGTTTCCCATCGATGAGGTCGTTGCCCGGCCAACAACATTTAGGTCCTAGAGAACAGGTGAATCAGAACACGGCTTACTTGGATGGCTCAGTGGTATATGGCGAGAACAATTGTATATCTAACATTTTACGTGGTTTTAATGGTCGTATGAATATGACTACGAATAATAATCGCGGCAAGGATTTATTACCACAATCGGCTACACATCCAGAATGTAAGGCAAGATCGTCTTATTGTTTTATCGGTGGGGATGGTAGAGCATCGGAGCAACCGGCTTTAACGGTTATGCATACCATGTGGATACGAGAGCACAATAGAATCTCCGATGGATTAAAATTAATCAATCCGCATTGGGATAATGAAAAATTGTATCAACAATCTCGGCGTATAATCAGTTCTATGCTTCAACATTTAACATACAACGAATTCTTACCAAGAATTTTAGGATGGAATGCTGTTAGTCTTTACGGCTTGAAATTACTTCCTCAAGGCTATTACAAAGAATATTCGCCAACTTGTAATCCCAGTGTCTTGAACGAATTTGCAACGGCTGCCTTTAGGATAGGCCATTCCTTATTGAGACCGCATTTACCACGAATGGATCGCAATTATCAGAACATCGAGCCTCCTATACTTTTACGTGATGGATTCTTTAATCCTGATATGCTTTATCAATCGGGTATGGTGGACGAAATGACACGTGGATTGGTATCGACACCTATGGAAACTCTCGATCAATTTATCACCGGAGAAGTGACCAATCATTTGTTTGAAAATCGACGAATTCCACATTCTGGCGTGGACTTGATTGCTCTAAATGTTCATCGAGCTAGAGATCATGGAATACCATCTTATAATCAATACAGAGCTCTTTGTAATTTAAAGAAAGCGAGTACCTTCGAGGATCTGTCAAGAGAGATGGCGCCGGAAGTTATAGCACGTATGAAACGAATTTATGCATCGGTAGACGACATTGATTTGTTCCCTGGTGGGATGAGTGAAAGACCTCTCCAAGGGGGCTTGGTAGGTCCGACATTTGCTTGCATAATAGCGATACAATTCAGACAATTAAGGAAATGCGATCGTTTCTGGTACGAAACCGATGATCCTAATATTCGATTCACCGAACATCAATTGGCCGAAATTCGTAAAACGACTTTGTCCAAAGTTATGTGCGAGAACATGGACGAGCACGCTGAGATGCAAAGGGCAGCTTTCGATTTACCAAGTAATTTCTTGAATCCTAGAGTACCTTGCAGTTCGATGCCGCATATGGATTTCTCTGCTTGGCGAGAAACTAGGCACGGTTGTCAAATCGGTGGAAGGAACGTTGCCGTTGGTGATTCTGGTTTCCCTACACCTTGTACTAGTTGTGTTTGCACGACGGAAGGTGTAAGTATTTTATAACTGAAAATCAATTGGTGTCGTTAATAATTCGATACACGCTCGATATTTATACAATTTCAGACCCAATGTGCATCTTTACGCGTAACCGATTGCAATCAACTATTACGCGAAGCATCCCGCGAAGCAATCTTGAGAGATGACGTCTGTACAGCGCAATGCGGTTTCATTTTAGCTGCAACCGAATCATCTTCGAGAAGTCTTCCACAGTTCACTACGCCTACCAGTTTTCCTACCTTTGGTCCAATCAGAAATAATCACAGAAGTTTGCCAACGCCGTTTTCGTTCAACGGCTTCAAATTACCCGATCTTTCGCAATTCATAGGCTGAATATTAGGACAATTTTGTCTCTTATAAATGAGATCACTAAGGAAGAACTTTTAACGTTTATATGTACATTATTCGTCGTCCATATTTTTTATCATAACAAATGAAGAACTTACAATTTCTATAATATAAGTATGTATCACGAAAGACTGCACGGTGAAACGACGATGAGATATCTAAGAGTGTACAGAATTCATTATAATTATTATATGAGCATGTTCGTGTATGTATGTTCATGTTGAGATGTTTATGGATGTTTTTATGCACATATCAGAAAGACGAGAATAATGCAATTGAGGAGCACGTGTAGTTTTGTAAATATAGATGATATATCAACCGATATATTTAACTGATCGGTTAAACTCGTGTTCTTGTATGTATAAAGAAAGATTTTCCTTTCTAAATCATCGTCTTCTGAGCAACACTTCAATGTGATTAAGAAAAATGACTAGCTGTAGTATATGTTATAATAAGTATCGATAATGGCATTGCTAGAAAAGGATAATAGTAATAGAAAGAACAAAAAACAAGATATAAAGAGAGAGAAAAGTGAACAAAATGGATAACAACATAATTCCTTTTAAATCAAACGCGACCAGTTTTTGTAAATGTAATGGAGTTCAATTTATAATATCTCCTTTTTAATTCCCTGTCTTTTCCTCCCTCGCCTCTCCTTTATCACCCCAAATCCTCTTAAAGCATAATGTCTAATATGTACTTATTTATAGATGATAAATAATAAGAAAAATTGTTTTTTTTTCTCTTTCTTCCGTTAAACTTTTATTTTATTTTGTAATTTAACACAACGACGTTAATAAATGTTAATGTTTCCTTTTTTCTTTCTTACTTCCTTCCATAGAAATATATCTATTAGACTAGAGAATCTTTTTCCTGTTTTCTCAGATACGGACATAAATTTTTTCCGTAAAAATAGAATTTAAAATTTAAAAACTTACAAAATTATATACTTATATGCAAATATTTTATTAAAAGAAATAGCATCGTTTATAGAGTTATCAAAAAATGACAAATTTCTATTTATCGATCGAGCTAAATCATTTCTTTTACAAAGAATACGCGTGTGTATATATATGTAATACAGAGTGTAAATATTTTATTATAAAACATTAATTATTTGCTCGCGTTATAAAAAAAGAAAACTTAATTTACAAATTGAAAAAAATCACCGACAAATGTAAATATTTAAACATGCGAGAAAAATAATATTATACAATTTACAATATTTATCAATATTTAATTTTTTATGCAAAATGTATAATATATTATTTCACTGTTATATCTCATCTTATTTTTGAAACTAGTTTAAAAACCAATTCGCAATTATTATCTTTTATACAAATTACATTCGCGTTTAGAAAATTCAAAATCATAGTTTGTCTATGACATTTTAGTATCTTATATTTTTTCTATCCAATTCCGAAGAATTTCGTAGCACTTACTACCACCTTCATCGTCCATCAACGAAAGTATCCTATGACATATGCTGTCATACTCTATAATCAGACAAAATATTCATGCAGTTATGGCAGCCTTTATCTTCAATTATCTTGAAAGATATACGCGGAAAAAGGTATGAAATAGTAGATACTAGTAAGTACGCCTACTACCAAGCCATATATTTTCAAGAAAAATATCTAATTCATAAGAAAGTAATATATGACTAGAGCTAAGGGAAAGTATCTTCGTGAGGTTTGCAAAAAGACACAGAGGTCATAAGTGGTTAAGCAAAATGTGTGCCCAGTTGAAAGATTCACCGTATGTTTGGATAAATTCACATTATGAATTAAGGATTCTCTGTATCAATATGCTTAAGTAAGTTAAACATACTAAAATTATTCCCAAGTTAAATGTTATTTAAAAAATGACATTTTTAAAATATACAAAATAGAAACTGTTTTTTATAAAAATTCTAATTTTATAATAATTTTGGAATAATAACGTTTAATGAATTTAATAGCAATATTTATATAGCAAAAATTGTATATTAATATTAATATTTTAAAAAAATATTTAAATTTAGCATAATAAAAAAATAATTAATATACAATATTATATATTTATAGATTTGAATTTAGCCATTTTTTCTTTTATATTTGAAAATTAACATATGTATATAATATATGTATTTTCTAATTATCTCATTTTGATATATAACAATTCTGATAATAATCGACATAACACAGATGGGTTGGCTTATGGACTCTTGAATCAAATACTCCATCTTTCTTGAAATGTATTTATTTTCTATACAATAAAATCGCAGTGAGCGCAATGATAATATTCGCGGTAACGCTTTTCACTGATATTTGCATGATGGTTGATGACCTATCGATAGTGACAGACGATGGTTGTGTTTTCGCTGGAATGTTTGTAGTTCTATTTAACGTGATCAATTGTCAATGTACACGTGATCAAATTGCTCGGCTTAGTGACGAAACGTTAAACTCTTGCGAAGAACTTTGCCAATTGTCTAGTAAGTATTTTAAGTTTAAAAATATAATCTCTAAATAATTATTAACCCTTTTAACTCGAGAGGTTCAACACGATAGTTTTATTTGGGCAATATCGTTTCATTGAATGCTTTCAACAATATATCTATGCAAAAGAACCATCTTAAATACGTCATTCGCATGCAGAAAATACTCTCGAGTTGCTGCTTCGCCCGAGCGAAAAAGGTTTAATGGTTAATTATTAGGGTTCATTATTTCAAGTTATTCATTGCAAATATTTGATTTTCATTAATGATTCATGTTCCTGAATGAGTTCATTTATAATCTAATCTAAACTATAACTTATTTTTCTTTGTAGAAGTCAACATTACCGAAAAATTAAGATATTATTTATGGAGAGATAAATTACCATTCTACAGTTTCTGCTCCCTAGGTTATCTTTTGGTAATCGCTTTGATATTTTTCGCATCAACGGAAGATGGAAGCTTACCGATACGGGCACGTTATCCTTTCGACATTAGGACATCACCAGGGCACGAAATTGGCTTCGTTATTGAAGCCTGTAGTATATTTTTTGGTGTAACTGCAATTTTAGCGATTGATACCATTATCGTATCTATTTGTAATTTGATTCTCTTACAATTAGAGATATTAAGTATGAATTTTCAGTACTGTTCAACGGCAGAGATCAGATGTATCATTGATAATGATAATGATAATATCAAGAAAAAGAAGAAATCGATAATAATGAATAAAATACATCGACCTGACCAATTCGAAAAATTCTTTAAACAATATATTCAACATCATCAACGATTGTTAAACATGATCAATGACTTGAATGATCTATTTAGCTCTAGCATGTTGGTTCAAATGTTTTCAAGTACTTCGATGATATGTCTAACTGGATTTCAAGCAATTGTGGTCATTATTATTTTCATTATCTAGGAGAATTATATCATTATTATCTTATATTAGAATCATTTAAACAAACAATTGTCAACAACATTTGAATTATAGTAACGAAATTTTGTACAAATGAATACAATTTTCCTGATAAGTTATTTACCTTATGTTATGCAGGGTGAGACAAAAAAACGGGGTATTATAAAAAAATTAATCTTTTGAGATAGCGTTCGCGTTGTTGGAGTAGGAATAATTGGAGAATGTACACTGTGTATTTAGTATCACCGTCATTATTAATTTAGTATCATCTTCATTAGCAATCGTGGACCAATAGACCGATACGGAACATTCGTTCGTCCTTAAAGTGTATTACAATATGGATGATTGTATCGTGGCCATTGAACGGTTATTTTGCCGCAAGTTCAACATCAACGGTAATAATCCTGTGCCGTTTGGTCATACTATTAAAACGTGGATTAAGAATTTTGAAGAAACTGGTTCTGCACTAAAAGAAAACCTCCGGGCAGAGAAAAAGATGTACGTACAGTACGAAACGGTCACGGGATTTCTCATTTCGTTATCATGGAGTTTCGTTAAACATTTCAAACAGTAGTGTCATACGTTAGATCTTGTAGAAATAATATGCATTACAATTAGATGAATGTCTTCGCAAGGATGAGAGTTGCTTGTTTTTCTGTATCCTTAGACGCTCAATTTTTCATTTTTTAAATAAAGCATTTTACACAATTATTTACAGTACTTTTATAATTACTCGTTTTTTTGCCATACTATGTATAATTTTAACAATTTTTATATGAATTGCTTCTAAACATATTAAATTTTCTAATAGGTTGCTGGACAAGACTCGAATTTTTGGAAATATTCTATTTATTTAGGTGCTGCAATTAGTCAGCTTTTGTATATATGTTGGATAGGAAATGAAGTGATAACTCACGTAAGTTATATTCACTTATTAGGATGATCCAAACGTTCCTAGATCATTTTTCAAACCAATTACTCCTTTTTCTGCTTTTTATTCTAATCGTTTTATTATGTGTCGTAAATAATATTCAATATGTTCAAATTTATAAATCATATTAGAAAGCATCTACATGTGTGGCAAGTTAAAGCTCCTGCAGAATGATAACTTACCATACAGTTCTTAATGTCTATTCCTCAATCTACAGGACAAATTATATTTTCCATTACATAAAATAATATTTACATAAAAAGAGTTAAAACTCTTGTTTCTTGAATTTGATACATTATATCAATCATTTGTGATGACAAATTTATTTGTTTTATTTCTAGAGCACACTGTTAGTTGATGCACAATGGCTTTCTCAATGGCATAATCAACCACTCGATCGAACTGCAAATTTATTAATAATCTCCTCTATGTTTTCGCAAAAACCATTGAAATTGAAAGCCGGCAAATTTTATATTTTATCTTTGGAAACATTCATCAATGTAAGTGTAGAAAACGATGAGAATGTCTTTCTTTAAAAAAAAATGTATTTTATACTTTTCTCTTAGATATTTCTTATAGAAAGTATGCACCTTCGTTTCTCTGCACACGCTTTGACCTTACTGGGATCAGTGGCACACTATTCGATCAGGACCTAGTTGAACGAACGATAGATCAGATTAACTTTGACCTTAGTTAAATTTGCTCAATTTTTTTCATGACTTTATCTTTTCTTTTAATGATTAGTCGAACATAGAGAGGTGCTCCTTTAACATCCAAATTTCCAGTCCAAAATCGCTATATTTTCTCCAAACAAATATCAATGTGATAGTACTACGAATAAAATCGATTAATGTTTGCAGATAATGAAAGGGTCATATTCTTTCTTTGCTCTACTGAATAGTATGCAGTTGGAAAACCATGAATGACGTTACCAGTTATTGGATTCTATTTACAGCATGATGAACGACGATTAATTATAGTTGAATAATGTATTTTAAAGAAACATGTATCAAATGTCGTTTAGTTTCAAATGAAAATTTATATGCGATTTTTGTAGGAAAAATGTCGTTAAAACTTTTGTTTCAAATGGAATGATGCTGTTGTATTCATTGTGTGTGTGTGTGTTTTTCATTGAACCCTATATATTAGGAAACATGCATCCGTATCTGTATCGTAATTTAAATTTGATCGTAAATATACATAAAGTGCGGGCGAGAGGGAAAGAATTTGTCATGTCGGTCACGCGATTTCTCCCGGAGCGGTGCATCTTCGGCGATCTTATAGCAACGATGTAAATCTACTTGAGAAACAATGTGACACGATTCATTAATCTTTTACGATAAAAACAAGGAAGCAAGCTAGAGAAGCTATCGCGGTCAATTAAATCTTCTTAGTGTCCTCGCGTGTTCCGATCTCAATGTAAAGGAAATTCGATGAAATATCATTGAAGAACATTCTTTCTTCTATAACGTTCTACATATGTATGTACACGTGTACACCATAGTACACGTTTGAAATGCCTTGAATTTTTAATTGACTCGAATTCTGAAGATATCTTTACTTAAAGCTTATGTTCCAAATGGAAATGATCTTATCTAAATCACAGGTAGAACTTCTTTCGATTTATAAGTATACCTATTAAGTATAGCTAGTTTGCTCTTAGGTGTTTTGTTAAGAATGATTATTATCTATTTTAACGCTGTAAGCATCTATGATCGTCTGTTAACTTCTTTATGATTCTACTATTTCAGTTATAATACTAAGAATCAATGATTATCTTACAAACTTCTAACTGTTTCAAACTTTTCCTAATCTAATAGATTAAAATTGTTAAAAACTAATAATTAATAGAAAATATGTAATATTGAGATAGAATGAATCAAATATTACATCAATTGTAGTAGCTGAAAGTTGGTAATAATCCTAATTACTTCTAACAGTTAAGTGTTCCTTTGTAACTCGATAGATCGAAACAAAAAAAAGCAAATATACTTATGACATATGTATTTTAGTTAAGTCAGCTTACTAATATTATCTGTATTGTCGAACGCGTTGAGAGGAAGAGGAGAGAGAGTGACGATACTGGTGAAGGCAATGCCACTTAAAAATAGCCTACAGTTAGGTAACATGTGGCTAAGCGACCATCTGTCTAGGAAGCCAAGGTAACAACGAACCACCAGACAGATCAGCTTGAGTACAACGAACGAGCAACGATCTATTCCTTCTTCCTCTTCGTTTTTTCATGCTCTACAAAAAGATCGCAAAACAATTATATAGTTACATTTAAAAATGCATCGATAATCTCGAAACTTTGTTTACTATTACATTTTGCATCCTTACAATAGTGCAACTTTTTTCTTTTACTTTTTCAAGTAGTACTCTGCGGTTGATCCTTCCTTTGCATCTTTTCATTCGATACAAATGAAAGTACATTATACGTTTCATGTTAGAAGAATTCTTGTACTTTTTAATATACTTGTATTCGTATACATAAATGTTAAATAAAATTAGAAATGAATGAATATTTAATTTTCCTTAAGATATTAGAAGCTGTTCATTTCAATGAATAAGAAAGATTTGTCGAAATCAATCGATCATGAATTATTTTCGCTACACCTTGCATATAAGGAGGGACATCTTTGGAAAGGACAAAATAAGGTGGTTCTCTCATAACGGTCCTTTATTTTTTCGCGATGGAGACACGAGCAGGAGCATTCTTTCATATCTTTCTTTCATATATTTCTTTCGTTTTTTCTTTATCTCGCACACTTGATCTGTCAAAGGCATAAACCCGACGTGTCGAGAGAACGAAGCTGTAGATTTTTTGTTGAGTAAATTTTCGCTTCCCCTTCCATATCTCCTGTTAACTGTTCTTTTTTTTGACATTTGCAAATTTTTAACATTAACAGATACAACTCGAGTAATCGAATTTGATATTTACCCATGTATTTAATGTGCTGTCTTTCTGATTGATAACAAAAATGGAATTTAAAAAGAAATGTCCATTTGAATCGACGCGTCAACTGCCCTATACCTTTTTTTGCGTAATTTACAAAGAAAGATAGCAAAAGCGTTACTTTTCGTTCCATTAGGCTACCACTCGACTACATTATGCTAATAACGATACGAAGAAGCCTTTACGGTCAATCCTTTCGTTTCTTAGTAAACATCAATTATATCAGGTCACAGATAAGAAGTTGAAACAAATGTAATATCAACATTTTTTTCATTTCATCTTAAGACTTAAAAAATGATACTTTTTAACAAATAATTTTTATTACATTTATTGTCACACAAATCATTTGTTACGGATGAACCGATTTTAATATACATATAAATATATATTCTTTAATTATATTAATGGAATTTCAAATTTGTAAAAGTACACGGTTCGAAGAACATTATAAATTTGATTAAAAGTAATGGCAAAAGATGATGATAATAATTCATATGGAAAATATATTTCAAGTCTGAATGGTTCGTTCTCCCACTAAAACAAGTATAAAAAATAAATAAAGGAAAAAAAAAGAAGCTTCGACTGTGAAATGATATTCAAGTATAAAGTTCATCGAGGTTAAATGGAAACGAGGCTTCCGTTAAAAGGAACACTGCGAACGATTAACCATTAATTAATTATTGGGTTGTCAGACCGTTCGCCAAATATACCGTTTTTACTAAAAGAGGAAGAAATCCCATTGCAATTTACAAACTTATAAATATCGTGTTACCTTTAATTACCATATCGGGTAGTCGATTCGAGAATCCGACGAGATCAAAAAGTAAACCGAAACTTTATTCTTGGTATTTAGTAAAAAAGGCAGAAAAAGAGAAAAGGAAATGATCCGGACTCGTGCGCTTTCCTTAAAAAGTTCACGCGATATTAATAATTTTCACGGAGAGAAATAAAAAAGCCAGCTTATAGATATTTCTGTCCTTTCGTATTATTACGATTGTAATAACGTTACTTGATATTACATATCTTTTGCTTGACTTCGATCCTCGCTTCAAAAACGCTTCATGCACGTTTTGTAAATTTGTAATCAATGCAGAACAGTAAAAATTAGATATACATAAGAAGTTTTATGAACAGGGTTGTGTATTTCAACGATAAGAATTTATTTAGTAGAAATTACAAAATACAGGTCAAATGACCGCGTGTGATAGGTTTATATAGATTTATCCACAAATATCATTGTTTTTTATTGATTTCAGTTCGAAAAGTTAGATATATATGTACGATTTCTCTTTCGCATAAGAGATATCTCAAGTATTTTGCAATATTTGCATATCAACTCTATAAGATGAAACTTGATCTCTTGTAAAAATGTTAAGCCAATTTATTCTAGGCGAAATCTACAAAAGTTATATCGTTAGCATCGAATTAAGAATAAAAGAAAAACAGGTTATACTAAAAGCAAACCTATTAATATAAATTACTATTTTTGAACATACTCTCGCAATTAATATGACGCATTAATTTCCATATCATCATATTAATATTCAGGATTTGCAGACGATCCATTTATCATATTATACCAAAAGTGAATGAACTTTTTCGTATACGCACCCACGCATGCAAAACAAATGAGTAAATTAATTAGAAATGAGGATTAGGGTAAACCATCTGAAATATATCAGGAAAGAGGGAATTTGAAAGAGGGAAAAAATGAGAGAAGATAAGGAAGGTAGGACTCGACGCGGCAAGTTATAGTACTCGAATGGAGGAAGGGGGAGAGAGTATGCATACATATGTATGCATGTGTTCTTCGTGTCTTTCTGTATATCCTGTTGCGCTTATATTTGTGTGCGCGCAAAAGGGAATAGAAAGATAGAAAGAGAGAGAGAGAGAGAGAGAGAGAGAGAGAGAGAGAGAGAGAGAGAGAGAGAGCGAGCGAGCGAGCGAGCGAGCGAGTGAGCGAACACGACAACGTGAGAAGCATGGCGTGACTTGGTTCAGCTCGAGTCACAAACTACCGGACCAGCACGCGGCGCAGATTCGAAAGACTATCTCGAGTTTATCGTCGGGGAGACGAGTAGTCTTAGCAAACGTTAGTTGAGAACGAACCAACCAACAAACGAACAAACAGGTCAAGCCTTTTTCTTTTATTGTTCTCTTGTGCGTGAATGATCCAGTAGATCTTATTTTCCGAAAGGAATTATAGTGGTGATAACATCCTTCCAAATTTCCTCGCTCGATCATCATACTCGTCTAAAATTATACAGGTTAGATCTTTTTTCTTATTTCTTTATATTAATAGAACTTGCAAAAGTTATCTTGCGAATCTTAATCTAGAAATGAATTTTCATGTGAAAACAAGCAAATAAGAATGTTTAAAAGAGGTCGTCTTCGCTTTTCCATCTAGTTGAATTAAAGTGTCCGTAACGAAAGATCACACAGATTCATCCTCGTCTTTTTCTCCCGTTTTGCAGAGATTAATCGGACCGGAAATATTTATATTTCTTAACCACGGAGAAATGCAAATAAACGAAAGCGACACGGTGTGGTCAGAAAATGGGGGCGAGATTTTCCTTTTGATATGAACGCTTGTCCTATGATAGCATAAAAAAACAAAACATATTGACGAACCACACGTTTGATTAATCAAATATGCATTAGTTATCAATGATTTTGGTAAAAAGTAGGGGACGCTAAATTAATAGGTAAATTAGTTTCTACCTATTCTTTAATAGTAGTATTCCTATTCATTTCTAGTGATACCAATTTTACATTAACCATAAGTATTAAATCTTTAGATATTTCTTCATTAAATATTTAGATGCATAGAAGAACGCGTGCAACGCTACGTGCTTTAAGGTTCAGAGGTCAACTTTTAATTTTTTTTCCTATAGTACCTACGTTTACAGAAAACTATAGGTAATATAACACAACGGACAATGTAATATAACGGGAAAACTTTTTGAAAAA